GTTAGGTTAGGTTAGGTTAGGTTAGGTTAGGTTATTAGTATTTGTATTATGTTTTTACCCACATTTTTTCTGTTCTACTTTCTCTACCTAATTATATCCGTGAAACAGTTCGTTGGGTATGGTAGAACAGCACAGGTATGTTCGTGCCCGTGGCGTGCGTGAAGTGTCCTTTATCATGAACGTGATGGCCCTTACATGGATGGAAGAATATCCTTGAGACATGATAAGGACATTGACCACTCCTTGACCACAGACGAGACTTGGGTATTAGGGATAATGAGTTTGTCTTAATGAATGAATGAAGTCGTTCTGGATTATACCTGTAGCTCCATATAGGTAACCAAACCCATAAAACATCATCCAAGGCAACCAAGTTCATACAATTGGTTGCCAGAGTCGGTATAGATCCTCAAGCATAGTGGTTTCCAACACGTGTTTGGGTAAGTCCTGTGGTACTCACCCCCACCCCGCCATAAAAATAATAAAGCATATTTTCGCTGGGTTAGGGGGGAGGGGGGTTGCCTACGTGAACCGGGTTTGCATGAAAATGTTGTCGACTTATTTGTTGATATTGGTTCTTCGTGAGCTGTCAGGATCTCTCTCGAGCGTGAAATTGCTGGCAGAGACTCCGTTGTCGGCTGCCGCCATTGTTTCTGATAACTCCATAAGACAACCCGGGCAGGAAGGGGAGTGGAGTAGGAGGAGGGAGGGAGAGGAGTGGAGTGGGAGGAGGGGAGGGGAGGGAGAGGGAGGTGGAGTAGGAGGAGTGGGGGGAGGAAGAGAGGGGGGAGTGGTTCAATGGTTCGAGACCGAGGTACCTAACTTGACAGATGAGGATGTGAAGGCGATCGAGTGCAGTGCCCCCAAAAAATATCAGTCTGCAGTATACTGAATCCTCGCTGCCCCTAACAGAGCATCAATTTCACTCATAGAGGTTACCTAGTACACTGGACAGATCACTACAGTTGTGGGTAAGGGAAGCACCTCTCTGCATCAACCAATACTCCAGCGTCAATATGTTTATCAGCTTTGAGAGGGACACTCCATTTACTACCACTGACGCTTCTCTTTCAAGTCCAATTCGTAAAAAGAAAAATAATTAGTTTGGCGAAATCTGAATAATCCTATAAAACAGAGAACGGGTTTTATATCAATGAATAGTATGTAATTTTTGCCACGATGTTTCTGTTACACACACACACACACACACACACACACACACACATCGTACCCAAAATTCTAAACATCGTAAACAAGGGGTGAAGATATCTTACTGAATGGATTAACTCTGTACTCAGCTAGATATCGTACTCAATGTATTATCTCGGTACTTAACGGGATATCGTACTCGGTGGACTCATCACTTATACACAAAGGTCAAAGATGCTGTAGTGAAGATACTCACCTTTAATTACACAAACACCTGCATTCACTCTCTTCACAGATTAATTACTGAAAATCAAGTGTGATAACGAGACTTGAAGGTGAACAACTAACAAAATGTGTAGCTATTGGGAGACGGCAGCCTGGCAGACGGCAGCCTGGTAGATGGTAGACGGCAGCCTGGCAGACGGCAGCCTGGTAGATGGTAGACGGCAGCCTGGCAGACGGCAGCCTGGTAGATGGTAGACGGCAGCCTGGCAGACGGCAGCCTGGTAGATGGTAGACGGCAGCCTGGTAGACGGCAGCCTGGTAGATGGTAGACGGCAGCCTGGCAGACGGCAGCCTGGTAGATGGTAGACGGCAGCCTGGCAGATGGTAGACGGCAGCCTGGTAGATGGTAGACGGCAGCCTGGTAGATGGTAGAGCGGCAGCCTGGCAGATGGTAGACGGCAGCCTGGTAGATGGTAGACGGCAGCCTGGTCGATGGCAGCCTGGTAGATGGCAGCCTGGTAGATGGTAGACGGCAGCCTGGCAGATGATGAATCGCTGGTAGATGGTAGATGGCAGCCTGGTAGATGGTAGACGGCAGCCTGGTAGATGGTAGACGGCAGCCTGGTGGATGGTAGACGGCAGCCTGGTAGATGGTAGACGGCAGCCTGGTAGATGGTGAACTGGCCTGGGTAGATGGTAGACGGCAGCCTGGCAGATGGTAGATGGCAGCCTGGCAGATGGTAGATGGCAGCCTGGTAGATGGTAGACGGCAGCTGGTGGATGGTAGACGGCAGCCTGGTAGATGGTAGATGGCAGCCTGGCAGATGGTAGACGGCAGCCTGGTAGATGATAGATGGCAGCCTGGCAGATGGTAGACGGCAGCCTGGTAGATGGTAGACGGCAGCCTGGCAGATGGTGGACGGCAACGCCTGGTGGATGGTAGATGGCAGCCTGGCAGATGGTAGATGGCAAGCCTGGTAGATGGTAGACGGCAGCCTGGTAGATGGTGACGGCAGCCTGGTAGATGGTAGATGGCAGCCTGGCAGATGGTAGACGGCAGCCTGGTAGATGGTAGACGGCAGCCTGGTAGATGAGTAGATGGCAGCCTGGCAGATGGTAGACGGCAGCCTGGTAGATGGTAGACGGCAGCCTGGTGGATGGTAGACGGCAGCCTGGCAGATGGTGGACGGCAGCCTGGTAGATGAACGGCAGCCTGGTAGATGTAGAGCAGCAGCCTGGTAGATGGTAGATGGCAGCCTGGCAGATGGGAGGGCAGCCTGGTAGATGGTAGACGGCAGCCTGGTAGATGGTGACGGCAGCCTGGCAGATGGTAGATGGCAGCCTGGTAGATGGTAGACGGCAGCCTGGCAGATGGTAGACGGCAGCCTGGCAGATGGTAGATGGCAGCCTGGTAGATGGTGGACGGCAGCCTGGTAGATGGTAGATGGCAGCCTGGTGGATGGTAGACGGCAGCCTGGTGATGATGGATGGCAGCCTGGCAGATGGTAGATATGGCAGCCTGGTAGATGGTAGACGGCAGCCTGGTAGATGGTAGACGGCAGCCTGGCAGATGGTAGACGGCTGGTGGATGGTAGATGGCAGCCTTGGATGATTAGACAGCAGCCTGGTAGATGGTAGACGGCAGCCTGGCAGATGGTAGACGGCAGCCTGGCAGATGGTAGATGGCAGCCTGGTAGATGATGGACGGCAGCCTGGTAGATGGTAGACGGCAGCCTGGTAGATGGTAGACGGCAGCCGGTAGATGGTAGACGGCAGCCTGGTGAGATAGTGACAGCAGCCTGGTAGATGGTAGATGGCAGCCTGGCAGATGGTAGACGGCAGCCTGGTAGATGGTAGACGGCAGCCTGGCAGATGGTAGACGGCAGCCTGGCAGATGGTAGATGGCAGCCTGGTAGATGGTGAACTGGCAGCCTGGTGGTGGGTAGACGGCAGCCTGGTAGATGGTGAACTGGCAGCCTGGTAGATGGTAGACGGCAGCCTGGTAGATGGTAGACTGGCAGCCTGGTGGATGGTAGATGGCAGCCTGGCAGATGGTAGACGGCAGCCTGGTAGATGGTAGACGGCAGCCTGGCAGATGGTAGACGGCAGCCTGGCAGATGGTAGATGGCAGCCTGGTGATGAATGGTGACGGCAGCCTGGTAGATGGTAGATGGCAGCCTGGTGGATGGCAGACGGCAGCCTGGTAGATGGTAGACGGCAGCCTGGTAGATGGTAGACGGCAGCCTGGTAGATGGTAGACGGCAGCCTGGCGAGATGGTAGACGGCAGCCTGGCAGATGGTAGACTGGCAGCCTGGCAGATGGTAGATGGCAGCCTGGTAGATGGTAGACGGCAGCCTGGTAGATGGTAGACGGCAGCCTGGCGGAATGGTAGACGGCAGCCTGGTAGATGGTAGACGGCAGCCTGGCAGATGGTAGACGGCAGCCTGGCAGATGTAACTACTCTATAGTATCCCGATAAATGGTAGATTGGCAGACAGTAACCTGATAGATACTTAACTATAACCTGGTAGAGTATTGGCCTGGTAAACATTGAACTGTTTTAGAGAAACATTGTAACCTGGTAGACTGGTCGATAGTGACTTGGCAAATTGGTATAACAGAACCTCTTTATAAAGGCTATATTAGAACCTCTTTATAAAGGCTATAATAACAAACACTCAGACAGGCTACATTATAACTTGTTTAAAATACTACACTACTCCCATATATAAATACTGTAGTACTCTGTTACCTGGTTCCTATATTTCATGTAGATCCACAATGAAAACGTGGATAAGATAAATCTTGATAAAGTCACACGGGAAAAGGGAAACAACGGAGCACCTTAGCTTTCGTCTTTATTCAAGACATCTTCAGAGGCAACTGAAGCTAAGGTGCTCCGTTGTTTCCCTTTTCCCGTGTGATTTTATCAAGATATATATATATATATATATATATATATATATATATATATATATATATATATATATATATATATATAATAAATTTGTTGTATTATTCTTGTCATCAGTTATCGTTCACTCTCGATCGTCTCTTCCTCGTTTATTTATCTCTATGTTCATCTTTACTGTTCTCATGTACTGTCCACCTCACAACACCGTCTCCGTCTCCTCGCTGGACAAGAACGCCCCGACACCTTGACTCCCTCACCCACAGTAGTGTCCTTAAGAGACGTGTAGGAGTGTCTGTTGTTTGGGGACAAGAACGCCCCGACACCTTGACTCCCTCACCCACAGTAACTGTCCTTAAGAGACGTGTAGGAGTGTCTGTTGTTTGGGTAATTTGGTTTTGAGAACTTCACTGTAATCCTTTTTTTTCTGTCTGTATTTTTATTAATAGCTTTAAGAATCAATTGTGACTCCTCAACACAACACAACACAACACAACACAACACAACACAACACAACACAACACAACACAACACAACACAACACAACACAACACAACACAACACAACACCTGTATAAGTTGTTTTAACAGGTGACTATAGTCTTAATCTTATCTGCGTGTGTCACCTTTCATTCACGTCTGTTCACAGGAGGCTTCATCTTACAGCCCCGTGGTGTCATAGTTCTAACTCGTGGTATATATTTGTACAGGTGTGAGCGGTCGACGGCATGAGGGAGTGAGCGTGGCGCACAGAGGTCTGCCACACACCAGTCTGACACACACGATGGTGCCACACAGAAGACACTCCAGAAGAGGAGGACGAGTGACACGAGCCAGGACCTCCAACCTGGCACGCATGACACCCTCTCAGCAGAACAACACGGAGGTCCTAGCACAAGTGGGAGGCAGTGTGACCATCAAGTGCTACACCAACTACCTCGATGGTAACGAAATGGTAAGGAAGACCTCATGTTGTCCTTTATGGTGTGAGATATTGTGTAGTGAGAAATATTCTGACTAAAACATGGAGGAAAGTATTACTCGGGGAAATATTCGAAATATTCATTAATTCCTGTAAACTCGATATTTAACACACACACACACACACACACACACACACACACACACACACACACACACACACACACACACCACCCGAGATCCCTCGTTCAAGAATTGCTGTTCGATACCACAACCGCATCCAGCCCATACGAGCACGAACTGATCACTTTTAGAACAGCTCAGTCCCAACCATTGTAAAAATTATCAATAACTTGTAATCAACCAGTGTGTTCACTCCCAGTCAATCTAACTTTTTGCACTGTCACTATGTTGAAATGCCCTGTAGTATGACCTTCTCCCCATCTAGTTATTATATATCTTATTTGTATCACTTATGTTACTTATATATTATTTGTCAATCAAGAGACCCATTCCCCAATTATGTAACTGTATATTTTCAGCCTTCCGGTTGGCATGCTCTTTCAATAAACCGTTAATTATTATTGTTACATACACACACAAACAAAATATAATCACTAACTAGGCCATATATATGAAGCCTATGTGATAAACGCCCCCCCCCCCCAAAAAAAAAAAAAAGAAAAGAAAAAAGAAAAAATTTATATGTGGCAACAATAATTTTCGATGGGATTAACAGAGAAAAAATACACGCAGAGGATTTTTAGATAATAGTCATCAGAGTTCATACGGATTACGTTCTTCAATGTTGTTAATGCATCCAGGTCACGTATTGTTGATAACTAACACGAGCAGTAGTACCCTGACCACTCCCCCCTACCACACCCCTCTGTTCTCCGTCCTTCCCCTCCTCCTTTCACCCTATCCCCATCTTCCCCCTCCTTCCTTCCATTTCACCCTCATATCTCTTAAATATGAACTTTGACCTCAAACTCCTAATGAGTAGGTCACACACACACACACCCATACAATCAACGGGTGTACACAAAAAAGTGCCAGGTATAACTCTCCTCAACAGCTTCTGAGGCCATTATGATCAGCACCTGGAACCTCTGGCGGCCGTACGAGCAATCCCAGAAGCAATTAAAGGGGACAAACCAGCTGAATCACACGACACGAAGGTGAAGAAAAAGTGTAGTAGTTAAGACATTATTGAGGGGAATTATTAATGTGATTACCCCGACGATGATGACAGCTGGCGGGGGGACGGTGAGCTGTGAGGAGGGGAGATTGTCTTTGGTAAGGGGTGGGCCTATGTGGGGTCTGGGGTGTGGGATGTGGGGGTGGGTGTGGGGTCTGGGGTGTGGGATGTGGGGGTGGACCTATGTGGGGTCTGGGGATGTGGAGTGGGCGTATGTGGGGTGTAGAGTGGGCGGGAGTGGGATGCAGTGGGCATGAGTGGGCTCTTGGGTAGGCGTGAGTGGGGTGTGGGGTGGGCGAGGGTGGCATGTAGGGTGGACGTCAGTATAGTCTGGGGTAAAGACAGACAAACAAACAAATAAATAAACACGTAAACAGCTAAACAAAACAAAAACACCGAGAGAAAGAGAAAAAATCGCCGAAATTGCAAGTCAGCGAGAGAGACAGACAGACAGTCAGACAGTCAAAAACGAGTGAGGAAGACGGCGGGGAGGGGTGGTGAGAGGTTGGTAGGAGGGCGGGTAGGGAAGTGAGAGGGAGGGAGGACCCGGGGGCCAGACCTCACACCCCAGAGCTGACTTGATGATTGATTCCCGGGCCGTCGCTGGAGGTGTAATGGGCTCCACTTGTGAAACTTTGGGAGTGATGGATGACTGACCGCCGCCACCCAGGAAATATGGTCCCAGCCCGCTTATTTACCGGGCCTAGTGGAGCTGACGGCTCTTATATATTACGTCGTGGCCGCTCACTTAATGTGTTGGTTGGCATGGGAGTGGAGGAGCTCTGCGGCGACCCAGCTCACCACCAGCCCAGCCGACGCGGAGCTTTATTTATTAAGGGCCAAGTTCTTATTCACGTGTTGGAGGTGAACTGTGTGTGCGGGGATCTCGAAGTGGGTTTTTTTGGGGGTGGAGTATATTTTGAAGTAGTTTGGTAAACCAATTTCGAAATCACTCTGAAATTTGTTTCATTCAGGTTTATTTATGTGTGATGATGGCGATGGATTTTCACTACCTGGGCTATTTAACTCAGTTTAGATGAAAAGATAAGATTGTATGTTCTCAGAATAAGAAGGATTATATACTTTCTAAAGCATCCTGAGAACAGAAACTTGCCACAGGGAGATTTGCTCACGTGATGATCCAGCAGTTGTTGACGTCAGCTGCTGGACCACTTTGTGGATCTGAGAGCAAGACTGACTACGTTCTGTTTGTGACCTGAGACATGATATCTAACCTAACCTTATCTAACCTCACCTAAGCTAACTTAACCTATCTTAATCTAACCTGACCTAATATAACCGATCATAATCTAACCTATGTCTTAACCCTTTAGACAGAGGGCAGCGGGGCACTGAGGTATTTTACTCTGGACAACTGCAGACGAATTAATTCAGATGACAGGAACCCTGGCCAGGCTAGTAAAGGATTTCCTAACCTAACCTAACCTTTTATACTTTCTGATTAGGACAGAGATGTTTAATGTTGAGTTTGTGATGAATGACTATAATGTTTTTTTTTGTCTTTTTTCTCAAATCAAAGAAAAATATAATGTTTTTTTCTTTGACAATCGTTAACATAGAGCAGCTGCCTTAGAACGATCTCCTGAGGTGAAAGGTGGGAAGTGTGTGTGTGTGTGTTTATCTCACTCCTACCCCCTCACAGCACATGTCTCACCCCCCTCTACCCCCCTTCTACTATTCCCAAGATTACTGCACCTCTTGAGTCACCAGACATAACTATACAAGAGGAGTGTATGGCCCCTGTCTCATCAACAGAAGTATTATATAAATGGGTTCTTTACATTTGATTTATATTCAAATTCATCCCCTGTAACTTTCCACTAGCTATGAGATGTCATGACCATATCACATGAGCGGTAGCTTCCCCAAGGGGTGCGGCTCATTTGACTATATGTCAGCACAAATGTAAGCGCGCATAAGGCGGCGCCCATTGTCAGTCAGACTCATAAACTTACATCGTACAGACGTTGATTCACGTCTATATACATAGACGCCGTCCTTTCTCTTCACGCTCATAAATAGTGGAAGTTACGGTTGATCTACACTCAGGAATTATACAAACAATACTTTTTAATAAAAGAAGAAACTTCAATTGGGTTTCGTTACTAAAACCCAATATAATATATATATGTACCAACCTGTTTAACATTGAATTAACCAGCCGGTTCAGGAGTCAAGACAACACATAGTTAATAAATCATCTTAAAACAAAGTTAATAAGATCTTTCTCTTTTACTATAAATTTCACCCAAAAATTTATCACTGTTACAGAGGAATCATGAATCTCTTTCCAAACTTTTGGCTACACAACAACCCAGTCGAGTGTAATTCTTGGTAAATCATCATCTTTCATTTTTTCCTAATGATATATTTCATTCATAAGATATTCAGTAAAATCCTTATGGGAAAAATACAATTAGGATTCACGTACAATGTACAGAAAGTTGAGCATAGAAAATTCTGTCTGTTTTTAAACGACTTTGGGGGATTTAGTCGACCTGAATATATTGATCTTTAATGGAGATGTCAGTCAGTCTTCTCAGTTCAATAAAGATCTAAGAGCCTAGTGTGTAAGTGAAAATCTACAGAGGAGAAAAAAAAATACAACTGGTATATTAAGACATAGATCTATACAGTGTCAATCATGGTCTTTGTGCCGTTGATACACCACACCGAGTATATCAAGACTTTCATCTTTAATGGAATATGTCAATCTTCCGAGTTGTTTAAAGATTTATATATGTTTTTTTACCAGTTGTGATGCTTGTTTGTTTATCTTGTTTATTTAGCTCCTCATTTAAGCCCCCCTACACACACACACACACACACACACACACACACACACACTTAGCCTCTACCTTCAAGACATGGGTGACTCATAAACCCTGGAGTCAACTTAACCTGGAGAGAATATTCTTGTATCAGAGAGAAGGGCCGTAATGGATCTTTTATCCGGCTGTCAGACCGGCCGCTCCACCTCTGACACCGACATATGAACATAATATCTCGGACCAACGAAGACTAGGACACGGAGAATTCATCTGGTGAGATAAATGGAGGTATGAACCTTCTCTCACTGTACCAGATATTTATGACAGTTTGGCCTACACTGGACAAGGTGCGCCACTGATAACAACCAGGTGTGTGTGTGTCCGCCTGTCTTAAACCTAACTCTCTCGTGTCGCCTCTGTATTATTTAGTGATGATAGTTCCAGGTAATAAACAGAAAACCTCAATATAAGACCCAACAAGGACCAAATAGACTCGGCTTCCCGCTTCTAGTCACCTGATGGGTAAATAATGCTCTCCTTCACCACCACACAGCCCCATAATGCTCATCTTCCCCGCCACACAGCCCCCATAATGCTCACACCCCCCTCCACACAGTCCCATAAATGCTCTACACCCCGCCACACAGCCCCATACGTCTACACCCTCCACACAGCCCTCACACGCTCACACTCTCCACAGCCCCATAATGCTCACACCCCCCGCCACACAGTCCCATAATGCTCACACCCCCTACCCTACCCATGACGTCGTTAAAATATCGGCCAAAATTAAAGAAAAACTAAATAACTGTTGCCAAAGCGCATAGAGTTCAGCTTCATCTCTCAAAAAGGTCTGATAAAACACCCAAACAAGAAAACAAACAAACGAAGTAACCTCTGAGCACCTCCCTGTTACACACTTCACGCGGCGCCTGGTGGAGGAAGGCGAGTGTACAACTGTTCCAAGAATTAACTATGTAATACGCTGCTCTTCCCAGGTAACAGTAACAGTAACGTAACCTTCTCTTGACAAGTATACAG